TGATTTAGTATCTACTAAAAAAATCCTGAAAACTCCCAAAAATTTCCTATTCAAGTGAGTTTTTCCTCATTTAAAGCCGCAAATTTTCTCTTTCAAGTGATATTTTGGGCAGGCTTGGAAAACTTTTGGTTTTTCCTTGACATTTTTTTAAAACCGTCTATCCATAACAACGGCCAATCGCTATCCCTTACTAATTGAAAACATCCTGGAAACTCCCAGAAGTTTCCTAATTAAGTGAGTTTGTCCTCACTTAAAGCAGCCAATTTTATCTTTCGAGTTATGTTATGCACGCATTCAGGAATGTTTGGTTTTTCCTTGGCGAATTTTTGAAAAATCCGTGTTGGCCAACGATCAATCGCTTTGATTTAGTATCTACTAAAAAAATCTTGAAAACTCCCAAAAATTTCTTATTCAAGTGAGTTTTTCCTAATTTAAAGACGCATTTTTTTGGCAGGCTTGAGAAATTTTTGGTTTTTCCTTGAAATTTTTTAAACATCCGTCTATCTATATCAACGGCCAATCGCTTTCTCTTTGTAATTGAAAACATCCTGGAAACTCTCAGAAGTTTCCTAATCAAGTGAATTTTTCCTCACTTAAAGCAGTCGATTTTATCTTTCGAGTGATGTTATGGACCGCATTCAGGAATTTTTCGTTTTTTCTTGTCGAATTTTAGAAAAATCCCTGTTGTCCAACGATCAGTCGCTTTGATTTAGTATCTAAAAAAATCCTGAAAACTCCCAAAAATTTCCTATTAACGTGAGATTTTCCTCATTTAAAGCCGCATATTTTCTCTTTCCAATGATGTTCTGGGCAGGCTTGAGAAATTTTTGGTTTGTCCTTGACACTTTGTTAAATCCGTCTATCTATTCCAACGGCCAATCGCTTTCTCTTTGTAATTGAAAACACCCTGGAAACTCTCAGAAGTTTCCTAATCAAGTGAGTTTTTCCTCACTTAAAGCAGCCGATTTTATCTTTCGAGTGATGTTATGGACCGCATTCAGGAATTTTTGGTTTTTCCTTGTCGAATTTTTGAAAAATCCG